TACTCTACAATAGACGAGTAGAAATACCGCGTGATATTTGTACTCGTCTATGGTGTTATTTGTACTCGTCTAAGTGTAGTTGGATAATAAATAACGGAATTTCCTTACTGCTAAACCATCGACTGAATTTCTGAATGAACGGCCGCGGAGAAGCTGTTAGGCCTTCAGAAAGACTAAACATTTCGTAATAGGTCTCAGTGATTTGTGATTTTATAGAACCGTGTGATAGCACCTTCGGGCTCAAACTACTGTCTACTGATGATCTGTGTAAACTTGTAAATTATATTGCAGCGGGCAAGGCTGATGGGCTCGACGGTATTCCAGCTTGCCTCTTAAAGCTTTCTTTTCCATCCATTGCGTCTTCCCTTACACATATTTTTAATTTAGTTATTTCTAAGAGAATGATTTCTAAAGAGTGGAAGAGTGCTAGAGTAACTACAATTTTCAAAACTGGCTCGAAAGTTGACCCAGCCAACTTCAGGCCAATTTCTGTTCTTTCTGTAATTGCCAAACTTTTAGGAAAAAACCACCTTTAACCAGGTTTATTCATATTTAAATGATGATAGGCTACTTTCGAAATATCAGTCTGGTTTTAGATCTATGCATTCTACCCTTGCAGCTCTTATTGACAGTACAGACAACTGGTTTCTCAATATCGACAACGGACTGACAAATGCCATTTTGTTTATTAACTTAAAGAAGGCTTTTGATACTATTGTTCATGAGATCTTTCTGTCAAAATTGGAGCTGTATGGGGTTAAAGGTGTTAGTCTCAATCTTTTCCGAGACTACCTCTCAGATAGAACCCAGGTTACGGTTATAAACAATGTAAATTCTGAAGCTAATTTCATAAGTTGTCGGGCGCCTCAAGGTTTAATGCTTGGCCCCCTACTTTTTCTTTATATATTAATGATCTCCCTAACTGTAACCTCCGATCGGACGTGAGAATGTACGCTGATGACACTAATCTCACATTTGCCTCCAAAGACCCTAATAAGTTGTTTTCAACCCTGACTCATGATTTGGGCAATCTGAAGCAATGGCTCGATTCTAACCGTCTAAGTCTTAACTTATCGGTAAAGTTGCAAAAGTACTAGCTGCTCTGAGGAGGCTAAGACCGATATGTCCTCAGAGTACCCTTGTTACTATTTACAAATCATTGATTCTTCCGCATCTCGATTATTGCAGTGCTCTTTGGGGCTGTATTGGTAATGGTCTTTGCCAAAAATTAGAGAAACTTCAAAACAGGGGTGCACGCATAATTACAGAGTCTAACTAGGATGCCATCTGTGCCCCGATTCTTCATGCCCTTAATTAGGATAGCCTCGCTGACAGACGTGCAAAGCAACTGAAATCTTTAATGTTTAAAACTTTAAATAACCTTGTACCTATATACCGGTCTGATAAATTCGCTAGCATTAATACTATTCACAGGTATAATCCTAGAGATGCCCAATATAACCTCTTTATTTCGCCACCGAACAATGAGGCCCTAAAGAAAAGCTTTAATTATAGAGCCGGCGCAGTAACATGGAACAGCCTGTCAGCTGAGGCTAAGCAGGCCACTACTTTCAATTGTTTTTATTCCGCTGTTGTACATTAAGTTTCTTCTATCTAGGATTTTATAATAGGTTAATACATTGTACACTATAGGTTAATACATTGTACATTAAGACTCTTCTATCTAAGTATTTATTATAGGTTAATTTTTAAGTCTTAGTTTAGTGTGCACGGCTGTTTTGAAGACCACTTATTAGTGATAAGGATTTTGTGGCTAAATAAAGATTGGTTGATTGATTGATTGATTGATTGAATACGTTAGCGAAACGACCAATGAGACGTTAGCGAAACTACCTAAGACGTTAGGAAACTGGTCGTCAGCGAAACAACTTGAAGGCGAGACGATCAATATCGGTCTTAGATTTTTTCATGAATATTAGTTATGCTTTCCTTCAAGCTAGAATAACATCTTCGATGAATTTTTTAGTACCGTCTTTATTTTCGTCAACAGCACATTGAGTTTGACTGCGAGGCTACTGACGTGTGTAACTTGAAGGTAACTTATAGAGTTTACTTTTCATTTTACTCTGTGCTCATGTCTAGTAAGGATGTCTGCTGAGTAATTATGAAACCAGGACTTAAAGTAAGACGGTGCCAAGGAAGATCGATCTAGGTACTTGAAGGTTTTAGAAGGAGGTTATCTACAGTTTTCAAGTCCTGACTTCTAAGGTCTGGTGCTGTACTAAATTTGGGGAAATACCGTATTTACTTCGTTTAAGGCTGCCCTCGATTAAGCGCCACCCCTGCATGAATACGCGCCGTGCGTGAGAGAAAAACTTAAAAACAAAACCAAATAAGCGCTGTTCTAAGAATACAGCGCATGTACGTCGATTGGAAGAAACTCTTGAAACACAAATCTAGGAAAACAATGTTAGTTCAAAATGCTCCAGATTAATTAATTTTCTTTCATTCAACTTTTGGTGTGAAATGCAAAGGTTTGCAAACGTAGAGTTAACAGCTCTTTATTTCAAAATGCAACTCTCTTTTTCGGAAAAAAATTATCAATAAACAACACGGCACTTAACCGAGTTTTAAACACCATGAGTGTTGTAAAAAACGTCAGATCGAAGCAGAAACTATGGTTGGGGCTGGCGAGTTTTGTCGACATTCCCTGTTTTATGAGTTTTCAAAGTCATAAAATATGCTACTGGAAAAGCTATCGGCTGAATCAGATTTAATTTATCTTTCATTCTTTGTTTCCCAGGCCTCCTACGTTGATTTTAGCGTAGATTTGAAGCCCGCTCATGATTGCATGATGAAGAAGTGCAAGGAACAATGGGATGCTTGCCCGGATAGTGGGCCCGAAACTAGGTCTTACCACACTCGAGACTTCCTAGAAGTTCGAGATATACCAGTTTAGATCTGATGTAAACTCGAGATGAGAAGTGGAGGAGCTGTTTGTCATAAAATAGGATCGCAACTTACATTGCAGTGAATGCTGTGCTTAAGAATGTGTTTTAGGATTGAATTAATAAAAACGAACGTTATTAGACTTAACGTGCAATTTTGTTTCCTGCACGAAATTTTAAAAATCTTCTCGACGTTTTCGGATGCATTTGGCGGATTCATTGAGTGCAATTAAAAGAGACAAATCAACTTTGTTTCTTGATGAAGTGGTTTTATTACTTACCAATAATAGCAAATTATAAACAACCCAAGCTGGTGTTTCTTCACTCTCACTTGGTCTTGAGTTGGACCTTTGACAAAACATTCGAACTCTCCGTGCAAAACTTTAGAATGATAAACATTTCAAAAGCTCACCAAAAATTTGCCTAAAGTATGTTTTTGTCGCGTTTGAATGAAATAAGAGGAGGCTGCGAAAAGATAGTACCAGTCTCTGGATCGTTTTGAAGTGATTTAAAGTTTTTAAGAATAATGGATTTAACTGAGTGGTTGTGAGGGTGAAATGTGAGAGTGAATGGAATGCGGTCGGAATTTAACCGTAGGGCTGACTGTCGAGTAGTAAGTTGGGTGCGGTGATGACCCGCTTGAACGACAGAAACAGGATAACTACGTTTTTCGAAAAACTGGCGCATTGATTTTCATTGTAAAATTAAAGAGACTTTTTTCGTTCAAGAGCTAAAGCCTTTGTCAATGTTAGTAGTGAGAAGTTGTTGTTATTTTAGCCAGTACTTCTCATTAGTCTAGACATGTACTGCTGTAGTTTCTTTTTGTCTCAGTCTAGGTTCCAGACCTCTTACATTCACTGTATATAGTTTTCAACAATTGTAACGGTTCACTTTTCAAAATGTATGTTGACTAGCATACGAAACGTCAAGTTCCATATAAAATGCATTGGAGTACAATGTTTATCACCGCTGTTTGTCTTATTTTCTTA